GTGGGGTGCAGGGCCGTGGACTGAGGGGCTGTGTGGGGAGTGGGGTGCAGGGCCGTGGACTGAGGGGCTGTGTGGGGCGTGGGGTGCCAGACTGTGGGGTAAGGGGCTGTCTGGGGCATGGGGTTCAGACCTGTGGAGTGAGGAGCTGTGTGGGGAGTGGGTTCAGGACCATGGACTGAGGGGCTGTGTGTGGTAAGGGGTCCAGGACCGTGCAATGAGAGGTTCTGTCTGGGTCGTGGGGTTCAGGCCTGTGGAGTGAGGGGTTCTGTCTGGGGCATGGGGATCAGGCCCATGGAGTGAGGGGCTGTGTCTGGGGTGTGAGGTTCAGGCCCATGGAGTGAGGGGCTGTGTCTGGGGCATGGGGATCAGGACAGTGGAGTGAGGGCCTGGGTCTGGGGCATGGGGATCAGGCCCGTGGAGTGAGGGGCTGTGTGGGAGGCGATGCTGAACGAGTGATCTTGGAAGGCGTTGCTGTCACACTGGGAGGTGTGCACGTTTTGCACAGGCAGTGGGCTCTCCGTGAAGGCATCATTGTACACGGCATGCCTTTCTGTCTTCCGTCTGTAAAGGGGCAGAACCCTTGGACAGTCTATGGCGTTTCCGTCCCCGGTCAGTTTAACAGTGTCCTGGAGACAGGGATGATGCCAGCCAGGCTGGAAGGCAGGCACACACAGAAAGTCCTGGGTTGGGAATGACCACCTCATGGACAGCTCACACTCACCTTTAATGGGATGTCACTTTGCCCTCACTTCAAAATGAATTAAGTGTGTGGGGGCAGCAATCAGTGTCATGAGGCAACTGTGGGAACTGTGACTGGAAAGCCAATTTGTGCTGTAATCTTTCAGTCAAATCACAGCTTTAAAACAACGTTTCCTCCTTGCGGTGGGGGGCGTAGGGGGGTGAGAGCCAGGACATAGGGTGCACATGTATGTGACAGCAGTCCCAACAGCGTTGTCTCCTCGTGTGTGTGCATGTGTGTCTGTGTGTATGCGTGTGAGGGGGTGAGAGCCAGGGCCGGGGGGTGCACGCGTGCATGACAGCAGCCCCGACAGTGGCCTGTGCTTCCTGGCATGTGGAGGGGCCCGCTGGGCGCCGCCCGCTGGTCCTTCTATCCCTGTGTCACCTGTCCTCCGGCGCAGGGCAGACCCCTGTCCTCCTCAGCCTTCTGAGTGAAGGCCCTGCCCCTGTCGTCCCTTGGCCGGGCCTTCAGCATGCACCCTGGGCCCAACTAGGGACAAAGCCCTACACAGCCTCTCTTGCACAGTTTATAGTCAAAGCAGACTAGTTCTGTTGAGCCTGCCTGTGTTAGCCCCTGTCCTGTGTCAGCCCCTGTCCTGTGTCGGCCCCTGGCCTGTGTCAGCCCCTGGCCTGTGTCAGCCCCTGGCCTGTGTCAGCCCCTGTCCTGCTGTCACTGGAGCCCTGTGACTGGGCGGCGTTGACAAACAGAAAGGCACTCTCACTGTTCAGGAGGCCAGAAGTCCAAGTTCAGGGCGCCTGCTCCAGGAGAAGGCCCCCGTCTCTCTCTCCCTTTCTCTCTAGCTCTGTCTCTCTCCCTCTTGCTCTCTCTCCATCCTCTCTCTCTCTCTCTCCCTCCCTCTGTTGGCTCAGGGGAAGGTCCTGTCTCAGCTCTGCAGCTCCGCCCTCCTCCATCCCTTGGCGGTTTCCACATGGCACCTGTCTTCCTCCCTTCAGCTAGCTGCTGTGTCTGCTGTGTCTAGTCTCTGTCTTCACACCTCAGGAGTGGTTAGTGTAGGACACAGGCTTCACCAGTGTGACCTCATTCAGGGAACAGATGACCCTATTCCCAACTGGGACCAGAGGGGTGGTGGTGATGTGTGCTATCAACC